CTACTAAATTTCACCCTCTTGAATTTTACGCACATGCAACACCAAAACATGACAATAATGAAGTGAGCCACGTCTCCATGTTATGAAGCTCCTGATCTGTAGATATTCATTACACCTCAGCTAGGAGAGTCCTCCTCTTTCACTGTTGCCCCTGAACTAAAGCTTAGATCATACAGTACAGTGTGAAAAACAGCCTCAGAGGAGTTCTCACTTGCTGAGAGAGTCTGCAGAAGGTTAGCTGCACAGGCACAAGCCACCCCAGTCGCATACCAGATCCCATATGTCAAGGTTTTGGAACAGCAGGTTTATTTCTGGCTTTGCATATTAATACTCCATTCCTCCTTTGGACTTCAGGAAAAACTGAACATTTCAATAGTAAAAACAATGCAATCCTCATTAGCGATAATGCAAATGTTCTTTAGCAAAGTTATTCCACCTGAATATATAATAGGAAAAATTATTATTATTATTATTATGCAACACCACACCCCAACACTATACAGAATCTCATCTCATACCCACATCTTTCCCAAAACCACACTGAGTTCTAGGGGCGAAGATAAAAGCTGCACACTTTCTCTGGGTGCCAAAAGCCCTAGAACTGGACAACAGAAGTGAGAGCAATCCCATCCAGCCAAATCCTTACAGACCCAGCCTCGATGCGGACACTGTGCCAGGTGGCACCCGACTACAGCCTCACTGATGGAGATGATGACAGCAAGCAACTTATGGATCTAGAACTGCTTGCAGCCCCCTGCATCAGCACTGGCAATCTGACAGGAGTGCAATCACACGTCCTTCAAAACAAGCAAACTGAAAGGATGGAGACTTTCCTCCAGTGGCTATGGCTTTGTGTTGCTGCTGTTAATACACCTAACGTTTAAAGAGCTGCAAGCAGATGCCCCAGTCCTGCAAGCAGCATCACCCACTGCAGTAAGGAGGAGCCAAAAGCACAGCAAGGGAAAGGAGACAGCAAGTTCCCAGGCAGAGACCAAAAGGTATGAAATGTTTAAGTACAGAACTTCCAAACATAAAAATCATCTTAAATCTTGGAAAGAACACAAATCCCCAGCCCTAAGAAACAAGAAAGAAAAAACACGGCTGCTTTGTCAACTTTCTAACAGCTCTTTCTGGCACTGGAAAAAATATATTAAGAAGTTAGTGTCCCAAATAGTTCTGCAGTGGCTAAATAATCAAAACTGGATTCTAGTTCTACACAAACAAACTGGGCTTTTCTTCAGTTCTACGTGGCTAATCTGTCTTTTGGAGACCCTACCCCAATTGTGGCTTCCTTCTCATCCCCATCACTCCTGCATCACATAGCCTACTATCTGACAGGTTTCATAGATTTCTAAGCATATTGTGGATTTAAAGCTAATGCTGAGGGTCTGAATAACATTCTGTCTCATTAAATTATCTTCATCTTACGCCAAAAAAATGAGGAAATTGGGAAAAGCACACATCAGTTCTTTGAGCACAAAATATCTGGAGGTTTGGTTACGAGCTCCAGAAGCCCAGAAGCAGCATAGCCCCATACTGAAAGCAGCACCAGGAGCAGCAAATAAATCTCTGTTTCTCCTGAAAACTGTTATGTTTTGGTTTTGTGAGGTTTTTTTTTTTTTTTTTTGGTATGTAAGTTTTTGTCGTTTAAAACAATAATAATAATCTTTTCTAAGCCCCTTTATGTTATTTCCTCTAAATATACAAAAGATTACAAGAAATAAAGGGAAACCTAGCACAGATGATGAAAGTGATTAGAGGCTTAGAAAGACTTCCATATGAGGCGAGATTATTAAGAAGTCTGCCTTGCTTACAGACAAGATGAATGGGAGGGATCATAAGAGAGACACGAGAAAAAGGGAAGAGACATTCAGAGGACGTTTTTTATTGCTAGAATATGAGAAAACAAGTGGAAACCTGTACTTCTTTGTTTTCTAATGTCAGTCTTTTTTTGGTACAATCACACAAGAATCATTTCATCCCCCCAAACACTGATTCTACTGCTATTCTCACTAAGGCTTAAAACATAGGAAGATTGAAAATAAGGATGTCCACCTGTTAACAAAATAAGTCCCACACATCCACATCTGCTCCAGGTGAGACTTTTTTTTTTTAAACAGTAATAATTATTACCATTTCAAATATAAAACTATCACTACTGAGGGAGAGTTCTGAACAGGATCCAATGTTCCATACATTACACAACCAGGGGTTTCCTGCATCTCTGTCCAAAGCACCTGGTGTTGGTTAAAAGCAGGATGCATCTCTGCATAGGCTTGCAATGGGATGCAGTACAGGAACTGGTGTTCCAGTTGTACTAGAAGAGGATTTTTATTGTACAAGGCCACATGTATAAACTGATAATCCTGACGCATTGCAGAGGACACCTGTTCTGAAAGGCTTTAGGGATCGAGATTGAAGAGCTCTGATCAGCAGCAAAAAAGTATGCACAGGCTTCTGAGATCTAAACAGGACAACCTGGTGAGCACTCAGAAGTGAGAGATTTAACATGGCCCCAACAAGCAGTCCTGAAGCACACGATGACATAACGAGGCACAAATTAGCAGACTGAAGAGGTTTTATGCCTCGCTCGGTACTGCCATGCACAGCTCCCCAACAACTTGGCCAAAGAGGGGAGCAGAACCCCAACCTCTCCCTCAAAGTTCTTGGCCTCCTCAAGCAGCAGTAATTCTCCATACGGTAAGAATGACACGGCTGTTCCTCATTAAAGCGTTTTCTCTCTTTCAGGCGCTGAGATCTTTGCACAAAACGTAACACAGCTCATTGGAGAACTGTCAGCAGAGCCCAGGAAATCATACTTTGAGTGGTCTTAAACAGGAAGGCACTGAACAGAGCCAGTCCCTTACGCTGAAGGAGCTTTAGACCAGCAGCAGGAATTGTAAGTAATCTTTTCTCCCCTCAGAAGGCTGTATTCATGGTAAGTTGCTCTAGCAATTCTACAAACTGAATTTGGTGATGACTTTCTCCAGCATACACAGTAGCAGTTTGGAGACAGTCAGGACACAGCTGAAACCCATAAGGCTGGCTAAGTACCTCCAAAACCTAGCCTCCCAAAAACCAGACTCAGTATCCTATTTTAAGCAGACTAAGAGGTCCAGCAGCTACCTTGCCTCCTCTTTTCCTCAAGCTACATTACATGCACCTCACCCTATTTACTATGCACCGTCTCCACTGTGCTGATGGAGGCAGCTCTGAGACTGCTTTACGCAAGCATTGCCCGGATTGCCTGGGCTCTAAGAGTACCCTCCCACTGCTGCTGTGTTCATTCTCTGTGTTGTTTTTCTCCATGAATGTTTGAGAACTGCAGCTTCAACTCCAGCTGCTCTGACGCTCTTTGTTCAGTCTTTAAGAGAGAAACAGCATCCTTCTTTCTTGCTTCTTTCCTACATAATAGCACCAATTGTTGCTGCTCCAGTGCCTGGCCATTTCTGTCCCTCTGGTTAAAGCAGCAAGAGGAATGATGAAGTTATCCAGGAAAACATCCTATTTGTCCCTAATAAGCACAAACGTACTTAATGCCAGCTCTTGCCATCATCTGGAGTACAAAGCCTGCTGCTTCCATTTCTGCCAATTATATTACAAGTTCCATGGAGCTACACAACTCTTAAAGCACAGACCCTGGAACAACGCAATTACATGGCCTCTAGGAACTTGATAAAGAGCTATGTTTCCGATTCCCGTGGTTGCAGGAAGGAAAGGAGAGGTTAACTCTGATGAAACGAAACTCAGAATTAGACCAAAGTCCAATGAGTTCATGAAACTGTCTTAAGATGAGATTTTTATTATTATTATTTTTCCATATGCAAGTATGATGCACTGTACCACATGTTAGCCATTATACTTCATGCTATTAAGCAGATCAGCTGGACTACAGAGTAGAAACTCCCATTTTAGCTCTTACACATGCCCCAAATCAGCCTTGAAGGCATGCAGTTTTCTTCCACGGCCATGCTAAGTTAGATAGCACATTATGCGTCCAGCAAGAACAATGAAAAAAACTAACTAGTTCACCTTGTAAAGAGAAAAAGAAAGGAAATACATACAATTTGTAACCAGGTTATGAGTAGCACACACACTGAGCTTGCAGCATGGAGAGCATTCTAGACTTCAGTAGTAAAGCTACAGTGGGTAGGCTTCCCTATCTTAAAACATTTCATTACGCAGCAACAATCAGCAGCACACCTTTTCAGCACTTTTAATTCATGGGTTGGGAGGGGGTGGAGAGAACACCACGGACAGAAGAGAGAAAAAGCCCAAGTCCTGCAGCGTGCTGCAGCGTGTGCCTTACACCTGTTGGAGCTGAGCCTCGGGGGAAGAACCCAAACCGGCACAGACCCCTGAGAACCACCTGCCCTCACTACAGCAGGGATTTGTCAGTACAGGTAGCATATGTTACACGAATAAAACAATAATAATAATAAAGTGAAGCTCAACTTGCCAGCGGACCATAAGTAAAACTATCCCACACAGCAGCACACAGCACATGCCATTACCTAGGGCACACAGATACACCTTTGTGTCCACCTCAGGGCAGAGCCCGGCCCTCCCGCAGGCTCCGGAGCAGGGCAGCCGCCGTGCTGTGCCGCTGGATGAATTCTCCGATCCACAGGTCAGCGACCACGAGCGGCGCAGCGCCAGCTCGAGCCCGGCGACCCGCAGGAACTCCCGAAATCACTAACGCTGTTGTTGCCGGTGAGCAAGTTCTCTCCCTCCCACCTCCTACTAGTTTCTATCGCGTGTCGGCTTCTGTTATGCCAACAGCCGGTTTCTTTCCATCTTCTTGTACTGACAAGCGAGCACTCAGGATCGGGAGCACGGCACAGAAGCGCACGCTAACAGCCCGCATCCCTCCAGCTCCACCACGGCACAACGCGAGCGGGGACCCCGTGGCAGCAGCTGCGGGTCGGGGCTGCTCCTCACAGCCAGGCACCGCGGCACAAAACTTCCCGAGCTCGGCCCCGAACCCCCATGCGCTTTACCCGCGTCTTGCGGCGCCGGTGCCGCTCCGGGTCCGAGTACGTCCTGTCCACGGCCAGCGCCGTGTCGCTGCCCGGCATCGCGGCGCGAGGCTGCGCTTCTCCTCCTGCTGCCGCTGCTCCGTCCGGGCACGGCTCCGAGCAAAGGTCCCGCCAGCGACCACCCGGCACCGGCACTGATATGCCGCTGCCGCCGCCGCCGCCGTGCGGGAGGGACGGGCACGCCTCGGGGCGGCGCGCGGCTGCACGGCTTCTCCTCCGGCGCACCCGGATTAACCCCTCGACGGCCCGGCGCGTCGGAGAGGCGGCGCCTGAGAACGCGGGGCCCTCCCAGCCCCGGGTGGAGAAAGGCGGAGGCCCGAGGGGAGAAGGTGGGGCGGCGCCGGCGGCGCGGTTTGGCGGAATGCCGCGGCGCGAAGCCCCCGGGCACGGCTGGGTGCTGCCCGGGGCCGTGTGCGGAACGCACGCGGTCTGTCGAATCAACCAAATCGTCCGCGTTGGGCTTTCCGAGGTGATGGACTGCAGCAACTGGTGACGTTTCGGTCCCCATTATACATAGAAGATAAATCCTTCAGCGTTCAACTGTATGGCAGCCACGAGCCACACCTGTGCGCAACGTGCCTTCCTCGGGGAAATGCCTCCTGTGCTTTAATTCCTGAGGGCTGAGAAGAAACTCTTTACTGTGAGGGTGGAGAGACGCAGGAACAGATTGCCCAGTGAGGCTCCCACCCTGGAGGCATTCAAGGCCAGGCTCGATGGGCCCACAGCAGTGGGTTGGAACTCGATGATCTTAAAGCTCCCTTCCAACCCAAACCATTCTAAGATCTTCAGAATAGCTACACGAAAAATATATTTAAATGCATAACATTTAACACATTTTAAATTAAAGTGCAAGTAGAATACTCTTCCTATAATCATTCAGAAAACAGTAGCGAGGCAGTCTTTTTCTGAGCTAAGTAGAATACTTGTCACCATCTCTATGTTGTTACACAGTGATCCAGGATCGCCATCAGATGGGCCCAGCAGGACCTCACCCTCGGGGTGAGCTGTTGGGATGCTCAGTGAGTCACGCTGCTTGCCTTCTCTAGCTGGAGGCAGCAACAGTCCCAAGGCATGCACATACATAAACACACATATATCGACACAGCTAACGGGCACTGGAGGGGATTGCTGCCTTTATGAACATGTCTCCCTGTTGATATTTGCTTGTTTTCTTTAATTTGAATCTTATGAGATAATCTACTATCAGAGGTAAATTATCTGACATTATTATCTGACATATTATTGTTGTTTTCACTGTGTGAGGCCTTCAAAACTTTTAGACCTGACATTCCAAAGGAAAAAAACGCACCCTAGAAATAACCTTCTTGGCAGGCGTTTCTACTTCAAATCCAACAGTGGTTTGTTGAAAGTTATTAAAAATTCAGAGACCAACTGAGCAGTTGGTGAGTATGCTACAGGAAGCAGTACTTTCCCTATGCAGAAATCATGCAAGCAAACTCACGCAAGCTACCTGCACACACGTGACAACTTGTCATTCTTCTTACATAGCTGAACTTGGAAGGCTGTCAGGAAAAAGCTTTCAAGTGGGAACTGGGTTTCTTCAGTCCCTCAGCTCAGACACAAAGGTTAATTTACAACTCCAAATATCCCAGAGGGTGGGGAACTCAGGAGATGAAGGTCAGTAGGAAATGAGACAGACAAATGTTGTGGGTTTGGGGTTTTCACTGAAGTGATAATTGCAGTTTCCAAAGGGGACTGTGTGGTTCCCAGCACATAGGATGAAACACCCTTACTACCTCAGAAACCTTCAGGAGTTCTTTTTAAGCCTTGCCAGTTGATCCAAGCATGGAGAGGATAAGTTGGAAAAAGGACATGTAAAGAGCTTCAGTCGCTTGGCTTTTTAGCAGTACAAGTCTTTCTGTTAATCACAGTTGATTCAATAATTGAGAGTTTTATTTAAATAATATCAGCTTTATTTAAATAATACCAGCAGGCTATCAATAAAATGATGAAACTTCTCTTCCAGAGGAAGAGAGATAGGAACGTGTAATACATAGTTGGGAGAATATTGTGTGTGCTTGGTCACAGCAGTATTAACACGGATACAGACATATATACAAAGAAAGCTCTCCTGATGTACCTTTTAGGAAGAGGTTTGTTCAGCCATGCACAGGCAACTAACTTCCCCTCCTCTCACACACTGAGCTGGTTTGCACAGCTCTTCTTCCCCACTCCAAAGCAGACAGGACTGCATGCAGAACTGCCCAGCGCAGTACTTCCCACAGCCTCACCAGACACTTCCTCTCACTGTCATTTTCAAAAGCCCACAGACTTGGATAAATGTTCTTCCCACACGCTGCACCTATTCCCAACTGAACCTTCCATCCACTAAAGCAAATACCTCCAAATATGAGCAGGAATTGGAGCTTAAAGTGACACAGGTAGAAGTGGTTGCCCATAGGAGAATTCTCTCACTGCTTTATCTTCTGACAAAGTCATTTTTACATCCATTTCTATGGTTTAAGCTAATGATAAAACTGTTAAATCATGCCAGGAATCCACTGTGCCAACTTGAAGTTCAGATTTCTCAAAATGGTTCACAGACTGCCCAGCTGTCCTTATAGGCACAGCATTCTTTCATCCTTTTCCAATGTTTTTCCTCGCATCAGGACACCAGCACTACTCACAGTGATTAATTCTTGATATTTACATTATTTTGCTGGCCTTCTTTAAGAAGTGACCTTTTAAAAATCATGCAAGTTAGGAGTGGAAGGTCTGTTTAAACTTAGGATGACAGAAGAAGGGCATATAGCACCATACGTGGCACACAGCGGAGCAGACATCAGTGCTGCGTTCAACTGCATTATCCTGTTTCAGGAAAACAAAATCTCTGGGGGTTGAGCAGACGCAGTGACCAAAGCATGAGACATCCAGCTTGCTCCCCCTGCACGAGCTGCATCCTTGCCATCCGTTTCCTGTAGCATGACCCCACGCAACAGTCACAGCCATTCCATCTGGGAGACACTGATAAGATGCACCGACTTACGCATGGGCCCCTGAGGGAGAAGTGGTGGCAGTGGTGACAGAGAGATTACTGAGCTAAGTCCAGCTCCTCACAGAGTAGTCCGATAGATGGGGTTCTGCACGCATGGGGAAGGAAACCTTGATGGAGATGAAAGGCACCACAGTCCTATCGATTAGGAGACTGGCTAGAAATTTAGCCATGTTCTTTATCCAGTTTTATCATGAATCTTGGCAGCTTACTTCTCCGGGCTTCCACTACCACATTTGTAAAAGGAAAACCACAGCACCTTTCTTCTGCACAGAACCTTGAGTCCTCCAGAATTAAAAACACTATTATTAAATGCTGTGTTCTGACGATGCTGGGACAAATTACACATAAAGTGCTAAGCATAAGTTGGCAAAGGCTTGCTCAGGAAGAAGGTGAAGGTCCCTTTTTTCACAACGATAACATCTGTACACTTAAACAGGATACCGGGGCTTCTTACAAGAGACTTTTCAACACTGCCTCCAAAACATTTTTCAAAAGCTTGTCACAGCCAGTCTCCAGGGAGAAGTCCGACGTGATGAGAGCCTGCCAGTGCCATTTCTAAATCTGACAGCAAACGGGACAGCGCTGAGTGGCGTAGGTTATCCATGAGCACGCGTCACTGCTCCCAGTGCTGCAGCCAAAGCATGAGTCTCATACCCGCGGGAAAGGAGGTACTCGGTCTGCCAGTACCAACATGAACCTGCAAGGGATCACACTATGACTGACAGGCTGCTTTGCCAGCCTGAACATCACTCAGAAGCTCTGACGATGACAAACGCTCAGATATTTATTAAAAACTTCCAATCAGATCCCCTCCCCCTCTCCTCTCCTCATACAGACCTTTTTTAATGCACTTTCAGGATCTAACACTCCAAAAGTATCCATTTTGCACACCTAAAAACTCCCAACCTAAGACTGTCTGTGTTTATCACTGCAATGTATTGATAGAGGATTAAGGACAAATAAGCACGTGCAAAATTCCAGCTGAGGGCAGCAGAAGTCCTCCCCCTTCCTTCTTTGACCTGTCCTTGTACAGACAAGGAAATTGCTGCTATATAATTCCCCTCTGCTGCTGCTGACAGCAATAGTGCAAACTATCTACGGGATGGTGGCAGTGTTTTGCACGTTAAATGCTATCATTAAGAACCTTTTTAGCTGACAGAAATAAGGACTGTTCTCTATATCCAAGAAACTGCCTGTCATCCAGCTATTTACAGGAAAGATGACCCATGTTGCAGAGGCAACATGGTACAGAATTCTCCCTTGGGCAAAGGAAATGGTTGTTGCTCATCAGTGTACAAATTGTTTTCGGCTTCACAATATCTGATTTGGAGCTCACTTGGGAATGAGCATATCCAACCTGCTCGCCTCAAATCAGCCTTGGCATTACCATGGGGTATACAGGACTGACAGCCACAAACAGGTGCACACCCTCCCAAAACATGAATGTGAACCTTTTACCCAAAGCACTGTGCCAGAGGTTGTGCCAGTGAGACCTTCTATCCCAAACTGAAACAAAGAAGCCAAAAACTTAGGTATAGCCCATGATAACAACAGTTGCTCAGGGCACACCCTCCATTCAGAGAAGAGCATGCAGCCCCCCTGAAGTGTTTGCAGCTGGATAGCTGACATCTCAGCTCCTAAAGGCACTGCAAGTGAATACAATAACACCACACTTGCACCATACTACTTGTTTGGCTGCAGCTTCAGACACCCCGACTTTGATTATGGCTGATGATTGCACACAGATTGTACATTGTACTGGACAGGAATCTGCCAATTCTATTTGCCTATGAAGTGCTTTGCCCGTGTGTGACCCCACATACATTAAGTCATGCTAAATGTGTGGCATCATGTATTTCCATATCAACAAACAATGTCAAATGCTGGAGCAGGACTTCTTTGCCAATCAGCCAGAAAACATAGATAGGTTACCAGAGGACAGAAAAATCAATGATCAGACAACTATGCCTACACTTCTTCCTCGTGAGCCTTGTTACAACATGGAAACTGCCACAGCCCTCCGGGTTTCACTACAGTCATTCTCTATTTACAGACATGCAAATGATGGGAGCACAAAGTTCAGT